ATCACTATAAAATTCGGATATTATATAAGCGTTTAGTTGCGTTATCACAAATCTAACATTGACTTATTGCAGTGAAGTTAATGGAACAAAACACAGATAACATACATTTAGATAACATACATTCCTATACATTAAAAATCAATTAATATATCGCTTTTAAATAATTTTTCACATAAAAATAAATGAAAACACGTAATTCTTTATTTATATAAATTATATATATGTACAGATAAGTTGATTTTGCAATTAAAAATGTTATAACTTTCTTTTAGTAAAGTTAATAATATATTCTAGAAAGACAAGTGAAAAAGTAAGAAAAACTAATATTTTTTGTCAAATAAAAGCATAAAACAGAATTTTGTCATTTAACTTTATGATTAAAACTAAATTATTCTAAATATTTCTAACATATTTTCAAAACATTTTTATTTTTAAAATATTTACTCTGATAATAACATATTTTACAGATGGAAAAATTGGGCACTTGATGTCCTTTATTGATAATTGGCATTATCATCACTGCCGGCTCTAATATGCCGCTTAATGTTGTTACATTGTATTAGAACATCAATCAAAAGTCGCTATCTCCTCGAAAAAAATTCGGAAACAGATCATTAAAAAATAATATTGTTTTCTGAACAAATATTGTTTCTTATACAGAATGGAATCCGCAAGTAGAATTGTATTTAAAAATTTTCATTTACTTCCTACGTAACAAACTAAAAAAAAATCAATTATTCAGTGAAGATCATTATTAGCTCAGGTGTGAAACCGAATAGAGCGATTCGTATGTTGAGTAAACATGATTATGACCCTAAGCGCGCGAACTTTATCCAGTAATGATGTTTAATCGCTTGTAGACCGTGAGACTATTTCAAATTTTGATATTTCTGTATTACGTTCTCTAATTAAATTAAAATATTCAAAATGCGCAATGAAAATAACTCAAACATTAATATGAAACATGAATATGAAAATAATTCACTTCACATTTTGATAGCAGCAAGATGATCACATTTACATTTTTTTGTTATTAAGATAATATTATTATGTAAATGTTAAAAATACGTATATCTGAAATTTCACTATCTAAAATTTATGCGAAGATCAATAATCAATTAATATATTCAGTACAAGTTTTGAGTAAGTCAAAATTTGTACTTGGTAAAATCTTGACCGATCGTTCCATTATAGGGATATATAATGTAATATATTTAGATTAATAATGTAATTTTATTTAAACATTGAAAAATCTGTCATGCGAACCTTCAAGAATAACTGGTGCGCGCATTGTTGTGTTCTAGTCTGTACTACATCGAACATATATCGTTGCCATCTTTATACGATCATCGCGACGATTAACCTATAATTATAATTATGATGGATAACCATATAAAACAATAATAATGATGATATATTCAGAAAGAAGCTGTGTCACTCTGGCACAGGTACACTTCAACTCCATAATTTCGGCAAAAAAAATTACTTCGAAAGTAAATTAAACATCCCGATAAATCTAACATTATACTTCAGCGAAATATAATAAGAAACTTTGTTTAAGAAAAATTAAGAGTAAATAATTTTGTAAGAGTTAGATTAATCATTTTTTTCCGTATAATTGAGACCATGCAAAACTAAATTAAACTGTCATCAATAATTATAGTTTATTAATCTTAAATTAAATTATTTAATTAAAGATCATTTGTAAATAAGAAAATATTATTCGTTATAGAGATTCAAGAATAATTTCGACATTCATAGTTACGATTTGCAATTATGAAGAGATGATCTTTATCTTCACGAATAATATGAATTCGTCTGCCAGTTAATGGTCGACCTTGCCGTCAATTGTCTGTCATGTTATCACCGCAAGGCTTTATTAGTTAACCGATTTCAAGCCTCCTCCCTTCTCCCATCTCTCCCTACGTCGCACGAGTCTCTTCGAGTAAACAAAATGTCCTTGGGATAAGCCATGTTGCAAATTGCATTTGCATAAAAGAATTGATTATCGGGCTTGACGCGCGCTGGAGAGGTAATTTATGAAAGTTATATAAATTATGGATTCGTAAAACACTGAAAATCCCAGCGTTTTATGAACAAGCGTGCCGTAATCGTCGCCGATTGATGGAAAAGTTGATTTCCGCCTTAAATTCGACATTAAACAAATATAGAAAAAAAATTATTGTTTCACATCAAAAAGTTACTTTTCAGTTAATTATTATTTTATCATCGTCGTTTTATCGATTGCATATGTACATTATTAAAAGCCGTTTTCTAACGTTTAAGTACGATATATCGGAATTAATAGTATTTCCACATTATAATCGCATTTGATGATACAATGTATTATTTATGCATGTAACATATATATATTACATATACATATATGTATATTCTAATAATTTTAGAAAGCAAATATTCTTTAATATTTTTTTCATTATTTAATTTTTTTTTTAAATAATTGGATACGCAATTATTAACTATAAATTTATTGTCACTTCTGGAAATGTGGCAATAAAGACCTCGCCCTTTTGCAAATATTTTTTTACAGAGTCCGTCGATCACGGCGACGTTCGCCACGCTTTCACGCTTGTTGCGCGACGAATGTTTCTATGTACGTGTACAATGTTAACCCGATAGCCTACGAATTGCTGTGCGGCGAATCGCGCCGTGTAGGAGTATAATGGGGTTCATCTCTTGTCTAGTCAGGGTTATAAATAAATAAATAATTAAATAAATTTGTCACTTAGTCATTTCACTCTTATCGCTGTGAATACGTAAGATATCCTTTTTTTTATTCGTCGAGAGCCCGAGCGAGCGGACGAAATTGATGATGATTTTCATATGAAGAATTTCTGTCGAGAAATGACGAGGACGATGATTAAACGTATGATGCGATTGTCCATATTAATGTATTGCCATCGATTGCTATTATTATTACTTGTCATTATTATTATCGATTACCGATTATTATGATTACAATTATTATTATCAATTATTAGTTACTATCACTACAGCTATATAATCCCTTTGTAAATGAGAATCAAGACACACTGAGGGCTAGGGAAAAGAGAAACTTAATAAATTGAAATTCTATTAACCCAAAGGCGTTTGATTGTTATTTATGTCTATTTATTTTATCCCTGAATAGCGGCTCAAGAGATCAAGAGATGAAAATAAAGAGAGGAGAGGTAAGCTGCACACTCTCAGTATTGTTACACGAATTACAATTAAAATTATTTGCAAACAATTCTTTTAATTAATGTCAATATCTTAAAATTAATTACCTTTGTAGAAATATAAAATTCCTTTTTCTAAAATACACTTTACTCTAATAAAATAAATCTTACTACGGATATACATTTACTATAAACGTAGAACACATACAGATTAAAATCGTACTTATATTTAATGATATAATACCACTGATATCACGCTCCTCGAACGCAGCCTGTTTCATATTGTCAAAAAAAGTTGAACGAAACAAATTTTGCAAATAATTTTTTGTTATAAATTATATTCGACGAGTTTTTTTAAATTTTTTCATAATTAACTTTTTTTTTAAATATAAATTTAAGATGTATTTAAATATTTAAATATAAATTTTACATATGTATGTGTTCTACGTTTCCAGTAAAAATGTATCCGGTGTAATTCATTTTATTAAAGATATAAAACGTATATTTTATAAAAAAAAATTTCATATTTCTATAAATTATTAATGTATAATAATAAAAAAAACTTGTCGAATAATTCATGACAAAAAAGAATTTATCTTGATAAAATTCCGGATAAAATTTTCATAATATATTTTTTCTGACAGTATGACACAGGCTGCGTTCGGGGAGCGTGTTATCAGCGCTATTATGTCCTTTTTGCGTCTAATTAACGATAAAGATAAAATTTCACAATAGCGCTGATCATTTTGTTCCTGTTTTAAGTATAATTAATGATGACAATAAAATTTTACAATAGCGCTGATAATGCGCTCCCTAAAGGCACAGCCTCAATGTGGCTGCAATAGAAACAAAAATCTTAAGATATATCACATTAATAATTAACATAGATCAATTTTAGTAAAAATTTATTGTCACTTTCAATCTATATAAACAATTTCGTCACGCTTAGATTATCTTCTTTGCTTTGTCGCTTCCATTGATTTACATAGATCACGTCCCTACTTACGTATACCATTCTTAAGATACTTTGCTATACAAAATGGCGGATGTATTACGACATCGGTTCTTTGTGTGAAAATTTTTAAATTCATCGAAGCAATTCTTCAAACTCTACGTTAATATCGCCAATAATGCTAAAAACAGCAGAGACTGATAATAAATGCTAAGCCGAGAAATCTTAATTTTAATGTTGATAATAATTCGTTTTGGTAGATTTTTGCATTAATAAAATTGCACATATAACACATGTATAACCCTGTATTTTTTTCTTTGCAATGCTAAATTTTAATTTTTACAAATTTGGATTTCCATTCCGTCTCCATTCCATCACGTTTATCTTGTATTTATAAATCCACAACATTTGAAAACACATTCTCTCAATCTCCAAAGAAAGATGATTTCATATTTTTATATAATTTCGGTTATATTGGATAATATCTGAAAATGTTTGAGAATATCCACGAATATCTCTCGAAACGTATTTGCGCTTTAAAATTTGCATTTCAAATACATTGTCAGCAGATAAATTTTATGATCAGCTATAAAATAATCTTACATTGCATTGATAAGACTTTATAAATGTACAAGAAATTTATTATTATCATTATATCAACTACATTTTATCAGTATATGTATACATATATGATATATATTTTTGCTGATACTCACAAACATATTTTCAGATAACACTGATATAATGATAACGATAAATAGATATTATTTCTCCGATATAATGATATAATGATAACAATGAATAAATCTTATTTCTCTCCCACTCATGATCTCTATATATGTTCTCGTTTATTATAACAGTTCACATCTTCTTTACCTACTAGTGGCATAGCACCTACTAGTGGAGCATGCGCAAATAATAGCTCGGCTTAGTTCGTGAGATGATCGTTGCATTCATTGCTGACGTCCGGAATATATCTGCTATGTCGCGCAGGTCGCAGACGTAAATGACTTCGCTGTGTACAAGTGTTAGTACACAGACTTAGTTGTCAACGATATTATCGAATGCTCAGCGACTCTTATTCTTGTCATTTGCAAGCGGTTCGATACAGCGGTTAGATAGTGCGACAGGCCAACGCAGTAGTCTTTAAAGTTAGCTCTCAGAGTTCAACTGCTCCAACAAGTCTCGCTCCAAGAAGTCTCCCTGACAGAATAGGGGATCCGCTACTCACAATTAGACTATATAAGACCGGAAGAAGTTTGAAGAAAATATCAGTGCTTCAAAATCAAACGTGCTTGCAGAACGGCCTCATCATGTCTAAGACCAAGGATATTACCAAGTTCTCAACTGAACAATTTCAGGAATTTCTAATGTCCTTCGACATAGTGATGTGCGATATTGACGGTGGGCAATAAAATTCAATTCTCCATAATCTTCCATAATAAATATGTGTGTGTTTTTTGTGTGTACCAATTGTAGAAACACTGTAGAAAACATTTACGTTAATTTATAATTTTTTAAAATTAAAATACTAAAAAGTTTTAATGGATTACGGCTGATAGTTATGTATTAAATAAATTTTAGCGAAATTGATAACGCATAAAGGCATCGAATATTTTATAAAACTATAGTGTATAGGTACATAAAAAATAGTTTTACAAAATAAATTTTTGTTATCAATATACAGGGTGTCCCAAATTTAAATCTTTAAACTTCGTGTATGGGAACGACAAAGAAAGAACATCCTTTGCTCGTTGTTACTTCATTTTATAGAGAAAATCGCAAAAATAATAAAAACGAGTTTTTATTTTTGTACTTATCTATTACTTATCAGTCGCACTTATTTATTAACGTTCACTTCCTTGTAAACATTGTTTAAAATGTACATACACGAAAACCATGTCAACATATTCAACGTTAGAATATACGCGGTATATTGTAATAGGAATAAATAATTCTAAATAAAAAAGGGTTCTAAAGGAGTAAATAATAACTTGATAGGTTCTGAGTAACCGATAAATTTATGGAAGGAAGATAAAAATGTAAGCAAAAAAGTTTTCACCAGAAAACGGAATATTATTTCGTGTACGACTTTTGCGATAATATTTCAGAAACGGTGCTTATGCGCGCCAATTTTCATACAAAAGAATGTCGGAACGACATTACTGCAAGAGCCCACATTGGACAATAATAATTAAGCAATAATGTGAATAAATAAGTGTAAATAAATAAGTAAAAATAACAATAACCTTCGATTGGCGGCAGTCGGGAGTAAAAAAGGAAAACTACGTTTTGTTTTTTTTGCGATTTTCTTCGAAACAAAGCAAAAAAGTATATTTCTAAAGAACTTTTTCTCGATCCCCTACACGCTCCCGAAGTTTAAACATTTAAATTCGAGACACCTTCTGTGTGTGTATGTGTGTGTGTGTGTGATCACACTTTCTCAGATTAAGTAAAAAATTTAAATTATATAAATTATAAATAAAATTTTGCAAAATGTAATTAACAATATCATTCTCAGGAGTCCTATGGCATCTAAATAAACCTATTGAAGGTGCTTCTGGGTCTTTAGTGACATTGCAAAACTTGAAAAAAGAAGTGTATCTGGTAACGAATAATAGCACAAAGTCATTAGAAAGTTTCTATAAAAGTCTTCAATACAAATGTTTAAATTTAAATTCAGTAAGTATTTTAATATTAAATATATCTGATTATTACTTTATTATTATTTATTATTATTACTTCATATAAAAATTAAAATAAAATTGAAAGATTAAATTATTTCTTCTAATAAAAATTATAAGAAAATACAAATTATAGCTCTAAATTATTTCTTATATCACTATATTAGTTCAATTAAAAAAAATGAAATATTTTGATGAGAGCGTAAGAGTAGTAAAAGTGATCATGAGTAGTAAAAATAGTCATTAATAAGTTTAAAAAAACTTTCCAGAGACAAACATCTACAAGTGTCTCTTTTTTGTAAATCACTATCAATGTCTGAAGAAAACGTATAGTCATGATTTTATTGATTCATATTAAGATTATTGTTATGCAATATAAAGCGTATAAAAATTTAAATTGAATATTTTTCGATGGATAAGAAATAGATAATAAATACTAAAAAATATAACTGCTAATTTATATATTTTTAATTATATTTTAGAAATAGACAGATTTTTTATCTTAAAAAAGTAGTCACACATATAATGCGTATAACGCAATATGACCAAATATCTAATCCGTAATGTGAAATATTAAAATCAGTATATCACTATAAAGAGTTAAAAATTGTAATCAATTGCTTTATATAGGACCACGTAATCAATACCATAAAATTAATTACTTGGTATTTGAAAAAGATTGATTTCCGCGACGAAGTTTTCGCCATTGTCCCGGAAGCAGCATGGGAAATGTTAAAAGAAGCAGGAATACGATTAACGGAACCAGTGAGTAAACAAACAAATTATTTTCTACATCTTTATTGTGAGATAGATTTAATGGAATAAGTTTCACCATAAGTAACACTAAAAAAAAAGCATTGTAAAAATTAGTCTGTCAGTCTTTTTTGTCAATTCATCAATTGTATTTCAATTCTAATATTAATAAAATTTTACATGGAGCATACGGCTATAAATTAATTTTTCATTTTGCAGCCAAAGGTTTTTCAAACAAATATACCTGCTACCGTAAAGGAAGTATTGGACCGACCGTCCGTTAAAGCTGTAATTGTTGATTTTGATGTCAATTGCAATTGGTCGATGTTAGCTTTGGCTATATCGTGCCTCAAACGTAAGGACGTACTATATATAGCAGGAGCAACAGACGAATGGTTATTAATACAACCTCAAATTACAATCTTAGGTAGGTATTGGCATCGTTATTTAAACAATAAAAATATTGTTTTATACAAATATTTTAATTATATCATTATCAATGTATAAATTGATTGAATTCTTGCTGCAATAGTGGGCTAAATCACATTTTGTAAAAATAAAAAAAAATAAACTCTGAAGTTAAACTGATAAAAAAAAATACATTTATTACCAATATCATAGGTATATTCAGTTACGTTATAGATTAGCATATGGATTGTTACAGCAAGCCCTTAAATTATAATTATAAAAACAATTATCTGTATAAATAAAAAAGTAATTGTGTGTGTGTGTGTGTGTGTGTGTGTGTATGTATGTATGTGTACATATACAAATTTTTAATATACAAAATATAATAAGTACATTTGATATACAAAAAGAAATATTTATAGAAATTAATGTATTAATGTATTATATTTAAATATTTTTTAAATTAATGTAAAAAAAAACGATATTATCTCATCATCAGGTCCTGGACCATTAATAAACATTATCAGCGAGCAGAGCGGAAGAAAGCCAATTTTATGTAGTAAACCTAGTCAAAATTTAAAAGACTACATTTTAGATAAATGCAATGTGACGGATCTACGAAGATGTTTATTCATTGGTGATTCGTAAGTAAAAAAATTACAACAAAATATGCTTCTATTTATTTCAAAATATTTTCTATAATCGCTCAAAATTGACGCTAAAATACATTTATGTTGCATCTACAAATTAATTTTATTTAAAATACATATTTACTGCGAGAGAGACTATTTTATCGATTCGGAAATATAAACGTAGGATTAATCAAGACATGAAATTTGCTTCGATGTGCGGATGCATAAAGCTTTTTGTCGGCACGGGATGCGATACATTGGAACAGGCACAAAAAGAAGACGACACCTGTCCGGACTATTATCTTCCTAGTTTAGGTCAGCTGTTTTCCGTCTATAACGATCCACAATGTCAACGTACTGTCAATCACAAAAATAGTTAATATTTCGTGCTTCGAGAAAATGAGTAATTATCAATGACAATATCAGTCACTCAAATCGACGATGTTATTTACAATTAATTATTATAGTTAATTAGATTTGGGAATGTTACTTCATGTTAGAAATAACGTGTTACAGTTACTTCTTACTAATTTTAAAAAATAACGCGTTACTGTTGAATTGCATTTAAATAGGAATATTTCAATAAATTTTATATATCAATAATAGAATATTTCACACTGTACTAAATTTTAAACATTGTAAATATTATAATAGATAAATTTTTAAAATAAATTTTATCTTTTCTGTGACAAATTTTATACGAATAATTCTAATTAGAATAATTGTGTGAATGCATTGTAAAAATATTATACATAGAATAAAAATACCGTTAATTGTTAAATGTTATGTCAAATATTGTACGTAGTAAAGTCCAAAAAATTTCGGTTTAAAGTCGAGAAAAACATCATAAAATGAAACAACTATTTTTATATTTCAAATAATTATCTTATATAAATTAATTTTTCTGTACAACTAAAACAGTAATCTTTATCTGTAATAAATAAAAGAATTTTCGTCTATAAAACAATACAATATTAGACAAATTATTTTTCCATCACTAATAAATTTCTTTTCAAGCAACACGGACTTCAATTAAAAAAATAAAAAATAATTAAGAACTAAATCGGGACTGTAGGGCGGATGAATTCTTGGAAATCAATAATTGAAGCAGCCTTTGAAGCAAAACTATACAGTGGTGCATTTTAGAATACAATAGAAGAATAGGTCTTGTTTCGGCCCAGCATACTATTGGATACACAGGTACCTCATTTTAATCACAGGAAAATCGGAATATAGAGTGGGGATGGTCAATATGGTACCTGAATTTGGATTCCGAATTCATTCTGATTGGAAACCTCTGTATCTTACTACGTAAATGACAGTTTTCTGAGACTCATGTGTAAGTAAAATTCTATCAAACGCACATTTATAAATTCAACTGTAATTACATCTATTATCAATTTTATAAAATATCAATAATAAAATAAAATAATATTTATAATTTGCATGAGATTATACCTACAAATCTTCAGAAATCTTCAGTCATGTGCAATTTATCTTACAATATAGCGCGCGTTCTATAGCTACAAGAAAGTACAAACATGAGAAAGAACGGGGACAATAAAGACAAAGTACAAACGGCGCTTTTCGACTTTAGTTTGCCGCAACAGCTCTGTTGATCGAGAATAATGCGAGATCGTTACTGAATTTGATTAGCGTTAAAATTTTTTAACAAAAAGAATGTGGTTCGTATAATTTATGGTTCTTGATATCGTGTATTAATTTGCCATTATGATAGAATAAGAAGAGAGTAAGCGAAACAAAATCAATCACAAAATGACTAAATCGAACTTTTCATTGCTTAAATTTTGGTTGCTAAATAATTAGTCAATCAGCTTGATATATTTAGGCTCATTATCTTGCATGTCTTATTCAATTTTAATTTTTTTTAAATTTGTATTGCTGCTACGCTGTTGGATTTTTTAAATATATATTTTATTTTTTCGATTCAAACACAGATTAAAAGCGGTTCAGGAAACATTTAAGAATAAGCAAGAGGATGATTTTCTGTCAAAAAACTGTCTGTTCTCTGGAATTTTTTTCCAAGCATACATGGAGGAACAGATAAAAGAAAATGATGACGTGTACATTCACAAAGAGAAAGGAATTGTGGAAGAGTATGTGGTTTGCGGAGGAATATCCGGAGTAATTCTGTATTTTGCTTTTTAATTTATTTGATATTTGTTATTTTAACATCCATGAATAATCAATTTCCTTCTCAACTGCAGTATTAATAATAAACTACATGTATTTTTTTTTAAGTAGAGAAAAAGAGTTTTATAATAGAAAGCGATTATTCTTTGAGAACCAATTCTATACTATAATAATAGACATAATAGTAATAATCAATTTCAAAAATTAATTTTATAATTGCAATTTCTTGTATGTAATGTTCAATAAAAATGTGTTTAAAAAAAACCAATTTATTTCTTGTAATAAGCTCTATTTATTTGATTCAATACCTACACCTATTAGATTAAGACAGATACCAATTAATTAATACATTATTGAGAAACAAGACAATTTCCGCAAATTATAATTTTTTATTAAAAAAAGTTAAATTATCAGCTAAACAAGCAGAGTACAATTACACGTTTATTCGTGAATATTTGCAAAAGAGCAATACAATTATTGAATGACTTTTTTTTGATCGTTAAGAAAAAATTTAGGCAAAATCGAATTTCGCGATACTTCCAGGATAGCAATCACATGGGAATTGCATTATTACTTCAAAAACTACTGCAATTTCATATATCATAAGACAGTATGCAAATTGCGTTGCCAAACAACTGGCCAAAAGTTCGCGTTAAAATTATATCAAACCACAATTAAGACAGTCCTTGTAGCAACAATCAAAAATATGCAGCAGTGCATATTCAAGCATTTCAGAATATAATAAAAAAATAGGTCTCTTCTCTCGACTCTAACATACTGTTGAGCACGCAGACATCAAATTTCAATCGCAGATAATCGATGGAGTGAGGATGTCTGACTTGGTACCTAAATTCGGATTCCGAACTTATTTTACTGGTAACTTCTGCATCTTACTACATAAATGAGTTTCGGAGACTCATTTGTAAATAAAATTATATCAAACATACATTTATAGATTCATCTATATTAAGGACAATATTTTTATGACATTAATAATATTTACAATTGGCATGAATTTATAAATCTTCAAAATATTTAGTCATGCGCAATTAGGCTCGTGATATAGTGTGTGTTCTATAGCTATATAAAAGCACAAACATGAGAAAAGGTAGGATAATAATAAGGACATATAACAGGCGATTCTCGGCTTTAGTTTGCCACAACAGTTCTGTTGATCGAGAATAGCGTAGAAAGGAAGTAAGCGAAACGAATAAAACCAATCGGGCATTGACAAAATCGGACTTACCATTCCTTAAATTTTTGTTGCTAAATAATCAGTCAATCAGTTTGGTACGTATAAGCTTAATATCTTGCATTTTTCGTTTATAATTCAAATTATTTAAAAAGTGGAAGACAATATTTAATAAACACACAAACGTGTTTATATATCGGTCTTTATTGGCGTGGATGATGATAGATGCATAAATCGATAAATATATCAATTAAATTGTAACGGACTCTTCAATTAATACAACAATAAGTAGCAATTAGATTCAGGCAATTAAAAGTTTCACGCAGATATTGGAATGTAAACATCTTCGATTTATTTCAAATTTCGTTACGTAGCATCCTTCGCGAACGTTTCGGCTTCAATCGAGCCATCATCAGCGCAATTTATATGTAGCTTTAACTTAAAGAGAATTAATGTTCCACAAGGATGAGTCTACCTCCAATTTCTTGAGAGAAAATAAATACGATCCATGTGTAGCAAGTCAATACCATAATCATTGTGTCAATGGATAAAACTTTTAACAATTTTTACAATGATTATAACAACTGCAACGTTTCGTGACTGACTGTCAATAAACGAACACAAGTTACAGTTGTTATAATCATTGTAAAAATTGTTAAAAGTTTTATCCATTGAGACAATGGTCATGGTATTGACTTGTTACACATGGATCGCATTTACTTTCCCTCAGAAAATTAAAGGTATATTCATCCTTGTGGAGCATTGATTCTCTTAGTTAAAGCAACATATAATTTGAAGTTTGAAATAAGTCGAAGATATTTACGTTCCAATATCTGTGCGGGACTCTAATTGCCTGAATCTAATTGATAAATATATCATTTTGACTTGTATTTATTCAATTAGATATGTATTTTCTTCTCAATCGAAACACATTGATTCCTTAATATAAATACCTATTTCTATATAAAACAATTTTGATCTCTCTTTTTAAAATTATTTTGTATATTCAGGGAATGAAACTTTTGAAATTTCTTGGTGTGGAGTACCCCCCCCCCCTCAAGCGGGGGGGGGGTA